AAAAAAGAGGGGGGGGGGGGGTTGGCGTCTGATACAATTCTATGGAAGACAGTGGCGTTTTGCGTGTGAGATTCGAGTCCGAAGAGGGTTGAGTGCCCTCCTCGTGAGGAGTAGCCTGCTTATCCGTGTCGTCACTCGGTAAGGTGATAGTGTCTTGTGTATTCGAATTGTCGGTCGCTGAGGAGATGTTCACCGAGGCCGAGTTCGACAAGGGTTAAGCATTCTCCTTTGCTGGGTTCGAAGAGAGTTGAGTTTTCTTTTTTGTCGAATCCGAAGAGGGTTCGGTGCTCTTCTTAGGACGAGTAGGCTGTACATAAATCGTGGTGCCGTCATCCAATAAGCTATTTATATTCTGTGCATTCAAATTGTCAGACGCTGAGAGGACATTTGGCGTTGGTTGAATTTGGCCGGTTTGCAGGATGGCGAAACCGTTGTGGGAGTCGCAGAATTGGTTCATTTTCTCTTCAATAATGAGGACCTGATTCGGGAGGAGCTGGGAAATTAGCCTGCAAAGATTCTCTCGCGTGGTGTAACACGACGAGAGATCGATTGAATGCTCTCACGTTGGTTTGTCGTTGAGGGAGAGACAAACGTGATGGAGAGACTAACGTCATGGTGTCACGAACCCACCGTTGTCCCCAAGTACTCTACGCCCTCCACCCGAATCGGGTGGACGGTATAGAAAGAAAAGGAAAGGATAAGGCAAAGGACGGTTAAGGCACAAGGCTATCGGTTAACGCTGCCTTACCCTTTTCACGTGACAGAAAGAGAGGAAGCTATAAGAGTCTCCTCTCACCTAAATCGGCTGAGAGAGAACTCTTCCTTTTTCTTAAGCGTTGAGTCGTTGTCAATAGGGCTACGTAAATAGAATAAGGTATTTAGCTACTCTAATTCCTTTATACCTACTACGTTACGTAGGTCTCTAGTAATTCTTAACGCTTATCTATTACGTAGTGATACTATCGAGCTAGTAGTAGCTATATGCGATTCTAGAGAGACCCCTAAAAATCATCCTTACTAGGGTAAGTTCCTATCTAAATTAGATGAGAATGAACCCCCCATCGCCCCGAGATAATGGGGCGCCCGAGGTCTCGTCGAGGACTATCGATGAAGACCCTACGACCACTACGGACTCTATAGACCCGCGACACTTCATTTTTACGTCTACGGACGTAAGTAACCTTAAAGAAATAGATGATAAATAATTATAGACCGAACTATCTAGGCTTAAAAGAGAAAGGATACGGCGAGAATAAATAGATCGAATTCATTATCTACGGAGAGAAAGTACTCTTAGTGTGAAATAGAGATTAATGTAAGAGACTATAGTATATTCTCGAAGTCTCTCACCTAAATTAGGTGAGAATAATAAGCGACTAGCCATAGATAATTTAGCTAGCTACGCGAAAATCTTTAAGGCGGACCCCCCGAAGTATTTTAATAAGGGTAGTTACTAAGTCTTAACTAAGTTTATTATAGGCATCGAGATATATTTCGAGTTCTATCACTAGGACCTAATAGATCCTAAGGTAGCTAAGCGAGCCATCTAAACGGCGGTAATCTAGCTAGATGAAGAGCCTCGTTAGATATATTATAGATAACGTAACGTACCCGCTAGTTAGAAGGAATTTCTTACGTTTCTTTAAGGCACTATTAAAGACTCTTAAACTCACACTTTTAAGGTTACTTATACTACTTAGTTTAGAAAGTAATGAAAAGAATAGAGTATTCGTTAGTACTTATATAAACTAAAGTAAGTAGAGGCCGAGATAAAGACATTAAGACTTACGGAAGTCGAGTAAAAGATATAGCGTTTCCTTCACGGTCTATAGCTTAATATTCGTAACGTAGTTATGGTAAAGCCATAGAAGGTACGTCTTAATAGAAATACTATTCTTACGGCCGCCTATCGCCATAAGATATATTTCGCGAATAAGTAAAAGAGTAAGGCTAAGGAGAAGAATACTTTAGGGAAAAGAAATGAGCTTCTAAAGTAAAAGACATCGATGACTATAATAGAAAGTGGGAATAGAACTTTTCACCCGAATCGAGAGAGAAAAAATATATTTAGTTCGCTAAATATGTTAGCTAAGCCTAAATCTAAGTAGAGAGAAAAATTAACGTTCTCGTTTATTTCTAAGTGCTATAATTGTTATAAGGAAGGGCATCTAGTACGGGATTGCCCTAAAAAGGGTATAAAAAAATAGATACTAATGTAGTAAACGTAGCTACCGCATTAGGGTATATTTAGTCTACGAGACACGGCGCATTAGAGTAACGCTATGTGAGCATTTAAGTAATAGTCCGAGTAAAGGGCGAGAAGTATCGATTGCGGGCTCTTATAAACTATGGAGTATAGAACGACTTCATCTCATAGATAACTATTATTAGGCTTAGTTTAAAAGGCGTTTCACCAGATATATTTAAAAAGGCTATGAATGGACGGTAGATCATTATTTACGGCCGTTATAGCCTCGAGGTTTAGGTCATTAATGACCGGGGGAGGACTACTAAGGCTAGACTTAATTTATTATCTACGAATATCGAGGGATTCGATATAATACTCGGTATACGCTAACTTAAAGTAATTAATTCCGACATTAATTTTAGAGATGGTACCTAGGTAGTGAGAGATTTAGACCGCTAAACCCGAATTAGTATAATTATAGCGTAAGAGCTTATTTAAGAGAAGAATGAAATCTATATTATATAGTATTAATCTTTAGAGAAATCTTAAAGAGTTTCTTACTCGAATCGGGTGAGATAGTATTTCACCCGCCTCCGAACTCTCGTATTAAGTAAGAATAGAGATATATCTTCTCTTTATACTAACTATAGCGACGTAGTATTAGATTCGGACGAGACTTAAATTTTACTAGTGTCGAGGGTAGAGTATATAATTAATCTTACGCTAGATATAATAGTACTCTATAGACCCATCTACTCTTTAAGTAATAGAGAACTCGAGGCTCTAAGAGAATATCTCGATAATACATTAATGAAAGGATGAATTTAACGAAGTATCTTATTTACTAGGGCTCCTATTCTATTTATTCTAAAGAAAGACGAAGGACTTCGCCTCTATGTGAACTATAGAGGGCTAAATAAGATTACGATTAAGAATCGTTATTTATTACTCTTAATATCTAAGATTCTTAATCGCCTAGTAGAAGCAAAACTCTTTATAAAGCTAGATCTACGAGATACTTACTATAGAATCCCCATTAAAGTAGAGGACTAGTGGAAAATAGTATTCCGCACTAGATATGGGTAGTTCGAGTACTTAGTGATATCTTTTAGGCTAACGAATACCCTAGCTACTTTCTAGGTATACGTGGACGAGTCTCTAAAGAGCTTATTAAACGTTTTCTACATTGCATACATAGACGATATTCTAATCTTTAGCAGAATAGAGAAAGAATATAAGGATCATATTAAATAAGTGCTCGAAAGACTCCGGAAATCACGGCTTTTCATTAAACTCAGTAAATACGAGTTCTATGTAAGAGAAGTGACATTCCTAGGCTTCATCGTTAATGAGAAAGAAGTTTCAATGAATTCTTAGAGAGTAGTAGCCATCCGAGAATAGCCTACCCCCTAGATATTTAGAGATATCTAGATATTTCTAGAGTTTACTAATTTCTATAGAGCTTTTATTCGTAATTTCTTAAGAGTAGTAACGCTAATTATAAATCTACTATAATGGAAGAAGTTGGAAGTAGTGGACAGAGTTATGATTAGCTAGGGCGCCGACCCTAGACTATGATTCTTCTTATATAGTTCTGGGGGACTATCTTTTATAGACAATATAAGTAACTAAGTTACCAATAGAGAGGACTTCCCCTAGTTAAGTGTGCGCGTTGAGAAGAGACTATACTCACCGCCGTACGAGTTAATGCCCATGGCTAGTAGCCTCGCCCCAGTTTAATAGTGCCACCAATAAGATCTTCGGCGAATACTTATAGATAGATATCTCTCTACGAGCGATGGGAGAAAATTACGAAAAATAACTAAACTAAACTACTTACTAGACTAATAGAACTAAAGAATTACCTACCTACCTATCTAACTAAATCTAAAGAAACTGGCTATATATGTAGAACCGCTACGCAGGGTGTATTATTTAGATCACTAGCTGAGCAAGTCTATCCCGCTGTACGGAGCGATTTACGCTGGCTATTCATAGAGACCGCTGCTCGGGGTGCCTTTTGGGATTACTGGCTGTATATATTTGCTACCACTATGTGGGGTGGAGACCAACGACTTAACGACTATTTAGACTACCTAGAAGAAATGAGAGAGAAGTATCTCCTAGAAATATAGGAATACGTTTAACCCTGAAAACTCCTAACTTAAGAAGCTTAGGAGGAGTCGAAGAACGTGGATCTACTTAAGAAATAATAAAAATAAGCGGTTGAACTAAACTCACTAAAATAAGTGAAGTTAGAGCGCTACTAGTCGGGAAGTGAATCTAGAATTTTAATGGAAATTACTAGTGAAGATAAGAAAGAAGCTCGACGAGAAAGTCGGTGAAGAGATAAAGAGAAGAAGAGAAAAAACAATAATAAAAGTACTAAAAATAATAAAATATCTAGATCTTTCGGTTTCGTTATTAAGATTTTACACTATTTCGATTATAAGAGAAGAAGTAAGAATAATTTAATAAAGAAAAATATCGTCTACGAAAGAATCGAATAGTAAAGAAAAGCTAGGATCTTCTACGATATCGAGTATTAGCTTATAAGATCTATCGACGCTAGATTCGACGATATAATCGTTATACGTCTCTTCTACCGTAATGTTAATGAGAGAAATACTTTAGAGCTTAAACGAAAGTAATAATCTTTTATACTTTAATGAGAAGAACGCTACCTCTTTCTTCGAGAAGTTTAAAGAACTATATAAATATAACTAGATTATATTAAGCGAAGAACGTATTCGTAGATCTATTCGCTTTATATCTAAAGTAGAGAAAGAACGCTGTAAAGAGCTCGCTAAGTATAACGTAATAAAGTAAGAAAAGTTTAAAGAGAAGATCTTAAATAAATATAAAGATCGAAACGAAGTGTAGCGAATAATAAGTATTTAATATCTTTAGGCACTCGCGAAGCATCGACGGGAGAAGTCTTAAAGCCTAAAGCTATATCTCCGTTAATTTCGTAAGACTACGACTCATCTAATTAAAATCGAAGTCGAGACTAACTATACTTACTATCGTCTTCTTTTATTAGAATTACTAAAGACTTATATAGATAAGATTCGAAAGAAATAGAATTTAATAAATCGAAAGCCGGAGAATTCGAACTTTTAGAAATACTAGAATTAGATAAAAGAACTATAGAATATTAACAATGAAAATAAGAAATTTACGTAAGGAGTACTCGACGAGAAGTTCTAAGAACTAGCGTACGAAAGAGAGACTCGACCCTTAGCCGTTCGAAAGAAAGAATCGTAAGA